TACTTCCCTAGGTGGCAACTGACATAAATAATGCGGACTTCTGCGTGATGAACATGAGACAAGATCTCATCATGAAAACGTCAACGAAAAATTAGTCAAAAGCCGTTCTGTGCAAAAGCCTACTGCTTTTTGAGGCTATTCGATTCCAGCGGTATTCCACACCATGAAATCCTATTCATTGCGATTACGAAGATCTACATCGCAAGAATGAATGGCTGTGGACAATTGGTACGAATCATTTACAGCTCTGAAGATGGCAATAGCACCAAAAATTTGGTACCAATAAAGACTTTTTCGTAACAACTTCTTATAAGCTCATGAATGCTACAAAAAGAGATGTTCAGATTGTAGTGTTAGAATTGGGTCGTTATAAGAACTTGACACTTCTTGGCACACCAGGACCACAAACATCATTAAAAAATGTGTTTTGCCCATATTTAGTCGCTTGATTAGAAGCACAATATTTCGTTGCACCACCGTAAGGCCGAATATGGATAGAAGGACTGCTCCTGAGCTGAACTGTAGCAACGCTGTGTATAAAATGAAGATCGTACTTCAGTAGGTATTAAAAGGTTTTGCAGCCATATTTCTACAACTGTTTGTGGCCATTTCTAGATCTTTCCAAACATATTTTGGAATATGTCTTGTTGTTGATGTTAAAGTTCAGAAAGGAGCAACTCTGGTAGTACAACAGGAATTGGGAGCCTACACACTCAGTGCCGCCGCTGTTCTACACCTAACGAGCAGGCTTTGCTCGAACTTTTCCTACCGTTTCCATCGAAGTCACTCATTATCGAAGATAAATGGAAAACTAGAGAAATATTGACCATAGAATGAGAGAAGGAGCGTGCTGATGGAGTGGGTGGTTGTGATGCCCATCTACCTATGAGTCAGTCGTAGTTCTGTGTGGCTAGCTATGGTTTAAACTATTCGGCTGTGACCCAATAGACAAGAGAAGAACAGCCGTGTTCACCTTTCACCCGCAACATTAAGACGTCAGTGACAAATCGTTAAGAGGAAAGCACACTACCACAGACAATAACCAATCCAAGTGCTTTTTTCGAGTTCGCCAATAGACGGGCCCAATGTCTTCGGTGGTCCCTGGCTGGCATACAGCACATCGCATATGGACGAAATGCCTAGGAAATGAATGGATGGACGAATGGACAACCGAAGTTATTAGGAAAAGTTAGTCAAACTGGAAGAGCTGCTTACGAAAAGATCAATGATGTTCGTGACGATTCATTGAAGTTGTTGATGTCTCGTGCAACTCGATTGCAAACAAACCACAGGTGTGAGAAAGAACAAAAAACCGCTAACGGAAATCTGATTTATGGGACATTAAATGATTCATGAACGTTGAAGACAAAAAGAATCAATATATTAACGTGGAAAGGCTCAAACATATCCACCAAGGACAGCGGAAAAACTACAAGAAGCTACCGCAGCTCATGCATTATTGTATAGAAAATGGTTGGTAAATGAAGACGTAGGCAACCAATGAAGAAACATTTAGAGAAAAATTTAGTATGTATGGCTGAGCCTTGGATTTCTCTCAAAGAAAATTTCGAACCTAACTAACAGTACGCTAAGAATAGGGTGCCCTGCCTTAATATTGTAACTGGCTGGGTATACTACTGTAAAGGTAGTAGACTTTGAGCAAGAAGTAGAAGAGGCGAAAGAGCTTTCATACTTTACGTATATGAATGAATTTTTTCATTTTATTATTCAACGAGCTATTTCTAGGCCTTTTTTAAACCAAAGTTCCCTAATTGCTAGTTAGCCTAGGTTTCGTCTACTTGGGTACTAGCGCTTCCACAAGGCGTCATCCATGGTGAATGTAGACAAATTATTAGGAAATCGTGATAAAATGAGGTACCATCTAGTGCTACTTACCATAGGATCTGACAAGAAGCGATAGAGAATGGAAGGAAATTCTAGGACAAGAAATTCCTCACGATTTAGTAAGAGAACAATCGAGGACGTTGCACTCGGCACCTTCTATTGAGATATCGAATCAATAGAGTATTCGAATGCTCAATGTGAATTTTGCGGTAAACTGAAAAAGTAAAAACCTGCTGGCGATTTAGAAGCTCCCAAAACCCTTTTCTTTATGAAAATATAGAATTTTTAAGTTTTCCAGCTATGGGTTGGCTGTGATTAATTCTCAGAATCTTTGTACAATACATTTTTTTCATTGATGAGTGATCCAAACGCAATATCATTTACTAAGCTTTCAGAATGTGCTCCACTGCGAGCGAACGGTTTCCTCCTCGGTCGTAGAGCGACATAGGACTTTGTGGACCATCGACTTGGATCATCGGCTCTGATCAAGGCGAAACTGTCGAAACGCCAGCCGTAAATAAACATTGTTTACCAACCTAGTGTAAGCTTGTCAAAGAAAGAATACATATTGATTATTGATACCGAGGTTAAAGGAAAGTCGGTTTTCAAATATTATTCCACAGTTTGCGAAACCGTAACCTTTTATAACATGAAATAAAACGCATAAAAAATAGGACACATTAAAATAAAAAAAACCGATAGAGTGGAAGGCAGAAAACAACATAAGCTAAAAAAAGAAAAGTACTTGCTAGGAACGATTTGGAGTGATTAAGACTTCGTGATTTGTTTCTATGCAGTTCCTCGGACCTATTCTTTGTTCTATAAGGTAAAAAGGACATTTTCACTGATATTTCGGGTCAGATTCCCAGAACGCCTACCTCCATGACAGTAGTTTTATTTGATTTTTTAATCACAAATCTAATTGGTGGACTTTTGAGAACACATTTCCCACCTGAAGAACTCTTAGTGGTTAATTGAGTCCTTTAGAAAATCATTGAATCCATTGAAGCTTTTAACTGGTGAAATTGTTAGGTTTTAGTTAAATACTAGCTAAGCTTGATGGTATGACTTTTTCTCATACTAAAGATTGATCGAGAGAAGATAAAGAGAGAGAAGAAGCGACGGAAGGATATTTTTGCAGACTAGATCGTCCACTGAGGAGAAATGTTTTTTATTCATTAGTGCTGGATTTGCACAATTATTCATGAAGGATGTAAGAGTTGAAGTCGTACAGCGTGAAATTAGTTCGTAACATGATGTTGGTGAGAAATTGAGACGAACGTAATCACACAGTTGTGGGAGTTCATTCTACGTTCGAGAGGCAGTGTACGAAACGCCGGCGGCACTGGTGCTCTGCAGGGACTGGAGAGCCGTCATCACTTGGACACCGGCGCTTCCAACCCGAATGCTCATTTCGCCTCCTACCAAATTCAGCGCACCTGGAGCTGTCAAGGAAATGGATAGCACAGCGCGAACAAGTCCAAAAAGTGAAAACAACGAAAGTGTTTGGCAGATGCTTACATAAAGAGATTAGAGAATTAAGTCGGAAATCGTACACAGATGTTGCTGAGGAAACGATGAACCTTCCTTGTATTGATGCTCTTCTACACTCACTAATTGTTCCCACAGTATCACTGATGTGTTTTTGCTGTCACTTGGTTTGTTGGAAACTTTAATATTCACGAAACTCAGAATTTTTCGCTCACGGGCCCTTAGTTAGCGTTTCTCTAATTCTTACTTGCTTACTTACTTGAACGGCGCATCCTCACTGGCTGTGCGGGCTCCAGGATAATCACCATTTTTCGGAGATCTGTTGGCTAAGCTATTGTTGTTTTCTAGAATCTCGAGGTCAGCCTGGCCAAGGTCTGTCCCAGGTTTTCACCACCACTGTTGCGGCAAATGTGGATCAGAGGGAGATTTGCCACCATGCGACTAGATTGATACCAGGATGGTGGTGGACTTTGGTATTGGTTTACTCTTAGCTAACTTTTCTCATAAAAACGCCGGACTCCTCCTCAGCTTGGGAGACCCAGCCGGGGAGACGAATCCCCCGCTGTACATCACAGTCCAACACTCAGGAACACCTCCCAGCTACGATGAGGCGGTAAACCGTTGGGAGGTTTCTCTAATTCTAGTGTCGAGAATTATGTTTGCACAGAACTGCACAACTTTCGCTTCTGGGATACCTTTGGTTACAAGACCCCTGCAATCGAGCAGTGAGTGGGTTCAATCCTGTTAAATGAACTAACTCAGCCCTCTTTGACCTCGAAAAACTAATAATTAATTATCTGGAAAGATAACTACACTGATATGATACACCTGAAGACCACCACTAGTCATTCTATAGGTCAGATATGCATTCAGTCCTGAAATGTTCAATGAAGTCGGTTAAATCCTTTGGTGATTGGTGAACGTCGAACGTCCCATCCTTTATTTTTTACCTTTTCTCCTGTTTTTCGCCTGATAAATTCTTTTTCTCTAAGAACATAGCATAGACAGCTTCTGGAGTTAAACAAGACGCTCAAAGGTCCACGAAATGTCGCACCAAAGGCGAGACAACTCAGAGGTATAAAGTATGACGAACAGCAGATGTTCACGACTGATCAACGGCAGATCGATCAGTGAAAAATGAACGCATATGCCATATTTTACAGACGTTTATTATGAGGTGTACTAAATAGTCACGTTTATTTATTTATGAATATTCACTTTCGTGTGATATGTAAGTGACGTAGGTGCGCATATAGCGCAGTGGCTAGAAAGGCAATGCAATACATATGGGTTCGATCCCCCGTCCCAGGCTCACCAAGCCTTCCATCCTTACGGAGTGAGCAACCTTGTGCCAGACCTGTGTGGGAGGATAGCTGCACTGACTCGATATATCGGTAGACCACCTCGAGTCATTGTGTAGGCGAGATATGTACCCTATCACCTCTAACCACGCTTAATGAAGTCGAATGCATAGCTCATCCCTCAATGATTGATCAACGCGAAGAAGTTCACTTATTTTCCTTTGCGAGAAATAAGAATTTTCCTCGTGTCAGGAGTCTAGGGTTACTTGGTTGCGAAGCTGCACGGTTTGACAGCAAGTGGTGCATAAGGAAGGTGCTCAGTTACATTTACACTTCCATCTTTTGTAATTTATATGTATAAACATGATTAGGTTCGTGGATGGGCTGATGTATCTGCGGACTGAAGTATTCTCATCGTTGCGGCCTAATGTGATTAGTTGGATGTGAGAACACGACAGGTATCCGGCTCACGTACTCTCTTAGGAGAGCACCCATAAGATGCATTATATGCGTTACGTACATCCTCCCAAAAAGTATAGAAAATAAAAGCTTTGAAAAAAGTGGTGCAGTCATCTCTTATAATCGATCTTACAACATCAAATTTTGGTCAGTCAAAATGAATGCTAGCCATGTTTGATGGCACGTTCTAATGACCCGTTCACGTTCAGAAATACGAATTTTATTACGATGGTGAGACTATCTCACAAAAACCTTGAACGAGAAATATGATGCTCTCTGAGTTTTTCAAGCCAACAAATTGCTATGCCCTCTGACCCGCGACAGGTACGAATGGAGACTTCGCTGCTACTCGTCTGAGTCATTTTTAACTGAATAGTGTGGTATTGTACAAGACAGAGATGGCAGCTGAGATCTGCGACCGGCTATACCAAAGCCAAGCACTTTTAACAGCTATCTAGGTTAAATGTTTCATTTTGACCGTAGGTTTTCGGATTTATAGCCCAATAGAGATTATTGGAATACATTGATCCTAATTTGCATACATTGGGGTGAAGGTCAAAGCATAACTGACGACAAGTTCTTGGACTCTTTTACAGGACAACTACTAAGTAGTACGTATGCGCTTGTGTTGTTTTGATGATAACTTGTCATAGCATTATCCGCTACAATAAATAAAAGCTTAGGGGAGAAGAAATAAGCTGGATTCGAACACAGACGAAGGAATTTTAATAAGGATTTTCATAGAGAATGACGCTTTTTGAAGTAATCAGTGAAAAATGGACTGGTTTCACCAACATTGGCATTTCTCTTAAGCTTCACATGTGGAGAGAAATTCGTAGCTCATTACACGTCATGAATTGAGCGGAGTGTAGTGAACGAATTAGTGAGTGACTGAGTGATTGACTGAGCGAACGATGACGAAAAACCGCTACACGACCTTCTACAAGCTCGGCCTAGTTGTAATAAAAGAGACATTTGGTTAAAGAGTTTTAGAGCTATACGTATACGTGTAGCCAACGTTTAAGGTGTGGTGTGCAGTCACGCGTGATCACAAGGCACTCCTCCTTGCAGTCTATTTTCTGGTTCATGGAATTTATCCAGAATCCCTCGACTGTTTTCTGCTTGTCTTTTCGACTCCTGTGCGAGGATGGATACTTCTACTTCAAAATCTTCTCCTTTCAGTCTGTGTCCCATACGCGCCTAATGGAGTATTTGGTTCAACTTTAAGTTTGCCGACTAGGTGTTCTTTTACACGAATGCAAAGTTGTTTACTAATTTCGTCAACATATTCGTCCCTCTTACAAGAGTTCACGTGTGACCAACCGATAACCTAGTGGCTTTTTACAATTTTAACTTATTATTTGCTGCCTACCCTTTTAATGCAGAGTATATTGCGAAATATAACTTCAATGATGCTGAGAAATTTGCGAAACTCCAGACCGCGGGTATCTGCGGTGGAGAACGAACGCGCTTTTGTCCTATCCGGGGAGTAGCGCGTTCACCATCACACCATGCGGGTCCTTCGTTTCGCCTTTCTCTCAGCTAGTTCTATCGATCTCTGCCATCAACAATCACCCTTTAGCCGGATTGATCTGGGGATCCCAAATCGGCAACGAACCCAGTTAAGCTGATAGCTGATAAGCAATATACCTAACCATTAAAAAGAGTAGGCAGTAAATAAATGTTAAAGTTGTGATTATAACTACAGCCTCAGCTTAACTTGGTTCGTTGCCGATTCGGGCTGGCAGATCAATCCCGTCGACGGGTGATTGCTGATGGGGTCAATCAATAGAACTAGCCGAGAGACAGGCGAAACGAAGGACCCGCATGGTGTGGTGGTGAACGCGTTACTCCCCAGAAAGGACAATAGCGCTTTCGTTCCACACCGCAGACATCTGCGGTCCGGAGCTTTGCAAGTATCTCGACATCATAGTAGTTTTTTATTTTATTAGTCCTCGAACCTGTCGCATACCACATTTTTGCGCTGCTGTGCGGTTGGAACTGAACTTTCTCGCGCGACAATGGTCAAGGATTTTGAGCGTTTCGTTCGAAACATGTGCAAACATTGCTATCTTCTTCGTCGTTGGAGTCATCTTATCTAATAAATTCTATAATACCAACCTCGTGTTTGCTCACTGAAAAAAAGAGTGAATGTCGAAGCAGTTCTTTTCTGTGTGCACTGTTGGATTTAACTAGTATTGTTCGGTCGTTCTCTGCTCTATTCAACATGTTTAACTCTTTTTCGTGACTTTGTTAGGTTCAAAATGCCGATTTTCAGTTAGTAGGAGATCTGGGACCATTGGGAATCGTATTCAACACACCATCACACCATAGAGTCCATCATGGTCGAAATCCCTACTGCATTGACAGAAATTATGGTGGTGTGTTCATCATATGGGACAAAGTAAGAACGTTTCTGTTTCATTTTTCAAACGAATAAGCGAATAGGGTGTAGATTAGATTTGAGCAAAACATGTACTTATGGCTCGATTCAAATATATGTTTCGTTTTCCATTTCACAAGAAGTGCAGTGTTTAAAAATACCGTGAAATGTAGACTATAAACCCAGTGTTCGACCCTACACTGTGGTAACCAAACCGTCTCCATCTTCGTTGGCAAACTGGTAGCAGATGCGTCTGGAGAAAACTACTTTAGATTCAGAAATGGAGGCGAATTATGTGATGAAGATCCGAGAGCTCTTTAGTAGAGCAATTCATGGGACTTAACAGAAATCAATTCGACCAGTGTTCGATCTCAGTGGTACGCTATAAAAAACGAGTGTAAAGGGTTTTCCGTTGACTTGGAATATACAGTAACTTTCGGAAACCTGTCGTTGCATGAGTTTGGTTTCAATCTCGTCCTAGACTAGTCTGGTAAAATTTTCCCGAACTCGGAAGGCTGTGGTAGTTCAGTTATCCCAAAGCGAGTGGTCCAACAACCATCCATGGACATGGCACTTCTTACTAGTGCGCTGAACGCATGCTATGCTATGTATGCTCACGACAGAATGCAATGTGAAATGAAGTTCAAAACATGGCTGTTCCTCGTCATTTTATTATGATGATGAGGTTGACTTCAGAAAGAAGCATATCTTTATTGACTACTACTTCTTTCATTCACCACGCTTTCTTCTTTAAAATCCTATGATACCAAACATAGGCTGGAGCCAATTCTTTATCATACTCGCCAATACGATTATACCCGATACGGCCGCCTGTGCTATAGCTAGTTGATGAGCTATAGTTAAATTTTCAGATGTTCGGTACATTTGAAGCCGAAAGAAAGGACGACCCTCCTGTTTACGGCCTTGTACACAACGAGAATACATTTAATCAGATCTACTTACAGGTTAGAGTCCAAGTTTCCGATCCCAAAACTCGTCATAGATCGCTTTATCGAGAGGAAAGCGTGTATTCTTTATTGTTTAATAGACCAAGAACAAAGCAGGATATAAAATGAGCATTTTGTAAATAAATACATATATAGTACATAAAGCAACTGTGCAAAATTTTGCTAAATGACCTCGAATAGAGAATGGTTCCTTAACTGCGTAACTTGAAGTAGTTACACATCTAAATTCATTAAGGTGCACGTTTTATGGGATATGCTGTATTTCAAAGGACAAATGAAGAACGGAAAAGGAGAATCACTGTTCCCAGGAATCGTGAATAAGGTGACTGCAGTAAAAAGAGATCGAAGTTCTTATCACAAAAATGTTGAAGCAGTCTTTAGAATCGACTTTTGCCTGCAGTGTAAAAGTCCCATTTTCTTTACCACAGTGAAATTTTGATTTCCCGGATCTCGTGACACATAACTTTCCCACTTTTTTTGTATTGAAGTTTATATTTCTGAAAAGAAAGCAAATGAACTGTCGGAGTCCCATCCTATAGGACGAAATGATGTTCCCAATGCACCGCTTGGGTTTAAATTGCCGCTGTTCTGTTAGGAAATTCAAAAACTTAAAACTTGGTTATCACTCTTTTGAAACCTTAGATTCTAGACATACTTACATTAGAAAGAGCACTGCAGGAATTATATACACGATTAGTGGGATAGAGCACAGATCTTTGTTAAATCCATAACATTCTTAACTCCTGAATTACCCTGTTCATTAAGAAATTACCGTCAGTTATTCAGAATTCAGCTTCGTAGCGAATGTGTTAAATCTTCTTCTGTTGTTCCAAAGGGCTTTTTAGAGCTATCTTTTATTGTAGCTACCTTTCTTGCCTCTATTAATTCACGATTATTAGGTGGCCATTCTTGCTACAGATAAAAGCCGCTCTCTACCCTCCTGGATGGTTTCCTGGCGTTAAAGTCACGCCTTTCTTTCACTGGATGAGTCTTGTCGATACTTCATATGGTGTTCCACAGGTGTGTAAGTTTTCCCTAATCTATTAGTCTTATCTAGATCTCCGTTCTACTTTTCAGCCGGAAAAACCCGTTGTAAAATATAACCCACCACTGGATTTTTGGGTAAAGTTGTATTTGGGCGGACACTTCACATTACTACTTGCAATATTCCTTCACTTCGAATACGATCGAGCAAAACTAGACTATATTGGTTTCGCCTTAAAGGTAGCGTTTTTCCTTGTTACGATGCAGACCTTTGGAGCATTCTTCGATAAGAGGTAGTGACTTACTAGACTTTTGTCTCACCAAGATTATCCCTACAAGGTCAAATTCCAGGTGGTACGCACCGCATTTGGAAATCGCCAGGTGTTCTGGAGTGTTAGCCTTTTTCGGTTTCTTGTTATTCGATCATATCGGTGTTGCGCCTCATAGAATATTTCTGATTACTGTACACGGCATGTCAGGAATATTGTGGATTGGATATGTTATACAAGAGGTCAGTCCTCATATCTCAGCGAAACTCATGAGCTAAAAGTCCAACCGGACTGGTATATTATCTAGAGATTCGAAAGTGCCATCAATGAATCTATATAATGGGAAGAATTTTTGTAATCATCCACTGTTTGAAAGTTGTTAGACGGTTTACCATCAAATAGGTATATCCAAATGAGATTAAATCACGCTAAGATAGGATTCGCGTTTCCCCCTTAAGCTTAAGATGACTAGGTCAGTTTTTGAAGTGATGCTGATTGTTACAGTAAAAAACGAAGAGTTCGCCACTAATAATCCCATGGGAGTTCGCATGAGCTCGAATTCGTATCACCGCATAGGTGACTTAATGTGTATCGCGAAGTCTAAGGGTCCATACAATAGATTACGGTATCCAACCGATGTATCAAGTCAGTGTTTCTCTCATCGCACACAATTCTAACACTGAGCCGCCGACCTTGGGGTTTAGTTAGTCCGTGAAACGTAGTCAAACCAACGAGCCATGTCTATCCACTGCACTATAGGCGTCCTGATTGCTAGAGTAAATAAAGCGATAAAGATCTCGGCGTTCATCAATCCGTGAGAGATGAACCATACATTCAACTTCATTAACAATCGTTGGAGGTCATCGAATGCACATTTGGCTTTTAGAATGACTCGCGTAGGCTACCGATTTGTCAACCCAGTGGTGCTGACTGCCCAGACAACTCTGGTACCAATTTGGCGACCCCGAAGGGATGGAAGATTTCGTGAGCCTTGAGTGCGGGGTCGATCCCATGTGTATTGCAGAACACATCCGACCACTGCGCTACACGCAGCCGTGATTCTCGTTTGGTGCTAGCAATAATCAAGGATGCTGCACATATTTAATATCGTCCATTACCAATCCCACTGAGACATGTTCATAGCAGTCTCATTGATATTGAATTTTATCGGTGTTGAAAGGAACGGTATGACATCAGCAAGAGAACGACGTTTTAGAAAATCGTTGTGAAGCAACAAGTCTCCGATGGTAGCAGCGACAAGAAGGTTAACATTTCGGTAAATATTTTATTTACAAAGCGAACTAATCTCACCTAAATTTAGTTATTTTCATTAATTTTGTAGGTGATTTCCCTTGATGAACGACCACATGTGAGAGCAGCCACGACGACAGCGAAACCTTCCACCATGCCGGGTGCCATCCATCTCAAATTATAATAACGAACGATTTTAGTTCCATTATGTATCTAACGAAATCTGTGAAGGAGATTTATTTGGTCGAAAAATTTTCACTCTTTTTTAAAATGTGAAGCGATCTAGTTGATAAAAAAACATAATAACGTTGAACGAGGGGATTTCATACGGAGGTCTAATAAGTATTGTGATCAGTGAATATTTTACTAAATACTCAAAGTAATAACATAGAAAATGAGAAGACAAACAATTGTCGTGTAACCATAATGATGCCGAGATATTTGCAAAACTGAGGACCGTAGGTGTCTGCGGTGGGGAACGAACGCGTTGTTACCCTTTTGCGCGTGCTAATGCGCTCACCGCCACACCATGCGGGTGCTTCGTTTCGCCCGTCTCTCAGCTACTTTTCTATCTGCCAGTGCCATCAGCAATCACCTGTTAACGGGATTGATCTGGAGGCCCAAATCGGCATAAATCCAGTTGAGCTGGGGCGAACTGTCGTATAAATAAAATATGTTGACATGAACACAAAACGTACCATTTTGCCTTATTACCGTACTTGGCTATGAAATCCGGCAGTACAGTATGCATACAAGAAAGCAGCAAAAGTTGTTGCTAATACAACACAATCCAGATTAATAATGTCTAAGTGTTCACTACAAAACGCCGCTGACGACAACGTTTTGCCTGCGATCATCTTAGAACACACGAACATTAACTCTTTCCGCTCCGCCACCGCATTTCGTGGTTAGCCTAACCGAATACTCGCCGTCTGCACAAAACAGCTAAACTCATCCGCGCCTCATCGTAATGCCAATGAATACCTGCCAGAACGCTGTTTTCGATGATGCGCTATGTTTTCTCGTTATATCAAGAAACATCGAAGTTCTCGCTTAGACAGTTTTATTTTTTCATGAAAGTTTGCTGCATTTCTTACACGTATCGCTTGAGACACACTGCATACTCTGTATCGCAGTGTGTCTCAATTGTCAAAATTTTGCAATCGCATTGCTGTCAGCTTTCGGTTTTTTCTGTTAACAAGGGTTAGCTTACTTCGCAATTTCTTCATTGGCATGACATTTAAACACTCCATATTCCACCAAAGATTCATCGCATTAATAAGGATAAAAGATAAAGCTCTCAACGTTGATCAATCCCTGAGGAATGCGCCATGCATTCGACTTCGTCTAGCATCAATAGAAGTGACTGAATGCATATCTGGCCTAAATATCTGACCTGCGGTGCCCCTCGATGTATCGAGTCAGTGATACTGTCCTCCCAGACAGGTCTGGTACAGACTTGCCGAGCGCGGAAAGATGGAAAGCTTGGTGAGCCTGGGGTGCGGGATTGTAGTAGCGTATTTGAATTTTATTTTTCTTAGTATCTTAGCATCTATTTTCTCTTGTCTTAGTATATATATAACTCCTTTTCATACGCTGAAGAGAACGATGTAGAGGTGCTAGCCTTTCATATTTGAAAGAAAAAGACTTGGAAATGCAGATGAAATAAAAGAAGCTGAGTTCTATGACTGTTAACTTTAATTCTTTTTGATTTGCGCTCTTCATCTGATCTCAGAAATTGTGCGTTTCAGCTAAAATCCAAGAAACAGTCAGTTTGGAGAATTATTAAATTCAAAGTAGCTTCGTAGCTTGTCAGGAAAACCTTCGCCCCGTACCTTGCTAAAGACGGAATCTGAGCTCAATTTCCATGGTTCCTTCTGATCTCGTATAACACCTACGACACTTCACTTGTTACATAAATAGTTGTAATTATTCGTTCGATGAAAGCCGCAATATATCCAGTGGTTCATATTCCAGGTAAGTTCAATCAAATCCAAAATACCTACTCAGAAGCTCAACCAAGGGTACGAGCTTCCATCAGAATTGCGGAATCTTAGGCATGAAGCAGAACGTATCTATGTAAACCAAAAGCGTTACTAACTCTTGTGATGAAATAGGGGAAAATGCTTGTTCAGGCAAATAGAAAAAAAATCGCTTCAGCCAATTATGCCGTCCACGACATAATGCTGAGACTCAATGAAAAATTACCACTCCTTCACCGACGCAGACCAGGTCTAACTCTTTGTACCCCTTTTGCAGATTAGCAGTAAGCAGGCCAACGTAGATTTAGAGAGAAGGGAGATTCGCAATAGCCTATTGTTACTGATCAAAGGCTATATAATTCTCTCTTCAGTTTGTGACTTAACAGATGAAAAGAGAATTATATAGCTTTTGATCAGTAACAATAGGCTATTACGAATCTTCCTTCTCCTTAAACCTACGTTGGCCTGCTTACTGCTAATCTGCAAAATGAAGTAATATGACAAAATGTGGTCGTAATTCCAGTGTTTTAATATGTTTGGTCAGATGTTTTACCCATTTCTCTATGACTTTTCTCATTTCTAAATATGTTAAGAGTTGGCTTTACTATGCTAACACTGTTATACACTCCTTTTGGTGATCACCTGACTTCCCTTAGCAAATTGCGTGCTCCATTTACATACGCCGCGCAGTACTCAGTGTCTTATCCATGCGTCTTTTTGCCTTCTAACCAACAGCTCTGGAGGTTATCTAGGCTGGTACTTGGACTCCACTACGACTAAAAATCCTGTCTACATTCAATATTCACGCAATGAATGAAAATCCAGTGTGCTCTTCCCTAAATCGGCGTGATCGGTTGTTCATATGTTTTCAGTCTAGCAAAACTTTGGGATTAATGGAAGGTGTGCTACTTTGTTACCAGGATCCTTCCAGGCAGCCACTTTTGTGGTGGCAGCAACGGTCGACGAGCGATAGGGGTATGAAACATGGCGAATCGAGTAAGCACGTCCTCGTACTTTCTAGTTCGACATTCTGAGAATGTATAACATTTACAACAACATCAACAATAACAAGGACTGTATATACAAAAAAAAAAATACAGTAGGAAATAATACGGGAAATCATTGTTCTTCGTCTGTGTCTTCGAATTTAATTCGACTGCTCTTTGCTTTTGCGAACTGTTCTGACCCGTGGTCGATTTCGATTTTTGGAATTCTTTAAACAAAACTTTGAAATGGCATTAACAATTCCATTACATCCAGAAAATAAAGGAGCGGATTAAAATACAGCACCACCCACCCCTTCCGTATTATCCGAATAAATCTTCCTCTTAACTGACAAATACCACGTTTGACTGCAATGTCGCAGTGCTTAACTTTGATGATATCGTCCACTTCGAGTGTTAAACCTATGGATGAATGATAAGGAACTCATACCAGGTGATTGAGATCAAAAAGCCTAATCAATGTCATTAGTCGACACCAACAGGTGTTTCACTCTGTGCATTTCTTTCTTCACCGTTAATCAGTTTTGAAATTATCCATTTCAAAACAATGGCCAATATAACGGTTAAGCCGAATAAGTAATTTTTCTGAAGTTCTCCTTATTCGCTAGCACAGAGGAAAACTATACTGTATATAACATGGTCCACGTAAATCATACGCAACCCACATTGACGACACTGGAATCAAGACAATTTTTGTTCAGTTTTTATTTACTGCCTATTACAATTTTCATGGCAAGGTACTGTGTGAAATAGAACCACAATGATGTTGAAATATTTGTAAAACACCAGACCGCAGGTACATGCGACTCTCCGGGGTCACACGCTTTCACGACCACTCCGTCCTTCCTTTTGCCTTTCTCTCAGCTAGCTCTCTATTGATCAGTTCCATTAGCAGTCACTTGTCAATGGGATTGATCTGAGGAGCTCAAATCGGCAATGAACCCAGTTAAGCTGAGGCTGTAGTCGAAATCACAACGTTAACTTTTCAAAATGTTTTACTTTTTATTTTCTGCCTTCTACAATATTTATAGCAGGGTACTAAGCGAAATACAATCACAAGATTGCTACAAAATTTGCAAAACTCCAAACCGCAGATGTCTGCGGTGGGGAACGAACGCGCTATTGTCTTTTCCAGGGACTAACGCGTTCACCACCACACTATGCGGGCCCTTCGTTCCGCCGGTCCCTCAGATAGTTCTATCGAACAGTGCCGTTCAACGGCCCACCGCAGACACCTGCGGTCCTGAGTTTGGTAAATATCTTAGCAATCTTGTGATTAACTTTTATTTACTGCCTATTGCAATTTTTTTTATTTTTCGGCCTCTACATCGTCATTGAACGTCAGTTACTTTTACATTCCTACTTTCGTTCCTGATTTCGGTTTTAACATCTCTCCGAATCAACTAGTAGGAAGACCGATCGAAGGACTCGTCGCCGAAAACACACCTCCCTCTGATCCACATCGTGGTGAGGACCTGGATAAGCCCTGGCAAGGTTACGTCAGGACTCCAGGGAGGACCAAGTCGCACGACCAGCAATAGGCTAGCTTCAGTATCCCGCACACTGGGTGTTCCCGTCTATGACGTCAGGTGGTGAACCGGTGAGAGGCCAGAAAATCTCGGGTTACGCAGGACGTTATCGGAACCGGATCTGACGAACACACGCACGATACGCCATGGAGACTGTTTCTTGCTATGCACGTATAATGCCAGAACACTCTCCACAGACGCCGATATTCGGGCCCTTCTTGTAGCGGCAGATCGAATTAAATTTCATGTGCACGAAATGTCGGTGGCGTAGGCTTTCTCTTCCACCCGTCGATTGTCCATCTCGTCGACTCATACGTGATCCTTTCCCCTCGCATAGCCGTCCTCCGTCTTCAGTTGTCGCATCATAAGAAGATCACTATCATCAACTGCTACTCACCGACCGACGTAGCTGATGAGAAGGAATTAAATCCGTTCTACTATCAGTTGGAGGAAGTCATCCGCAATGATAAAGCATATCATAAATTTGTTGTTAAAGACTTCAACGCCAGAATAGGAAAGGCCAAAAAGAGCGAATATAGGATGGGAAATTTTGGATTAGGAGAAAGAAATGAGAGTGGGAACCGTCTCGCAGGACTTTTGTCAGCAGCACGTCTCTTCCATGGAAAATCGTTCTGCCAGAAGAAACAAAGCCGCCGCTGGACATGGGAGTCTCCCAACGGCATGACTCAAGCGGAGATCAACCATATCCTGACATATAGAAGATGGTGCCTACTTGACACAACGGTAGTCCCGTCACTCTGTACTGGTTCCGATCACCGCCTTCTTCGCTCAAGATTCGATTCAACCGCAAGTTGGAAAAGAACTCTCTTCATCGACCACGAGGAAAAAGTTTAGCTGTATACGACGAGAACATTCTGAACGAAATCCTGTCCAAACGTGACTGGCAGATTAAAGAAGACCTGGCCGAAGACTACGAGCTGCTTGTCGAAGGACTGAAAAACTGTGCCGAATTGGCCACAGTTCCTCAAGCAAGAAGATCGGATCGCATCTCCATCACTACTACGGAGTTGCTCGAAAAGAGAGGGAAACAGAAGCTTGATTCTACTGCAACAGGTTTAACATGGCTAGTAATAAATGCCAGCTGCCGAAGAGCTTTGCAGGAAGATCTACAACGGTGCAAGCAGAAGAAAATACTGGAAGCAGCAGAGAAAAGAAGCAGTCTGAAAAAATACCGTCGGGACTTGTGTGATTATAATGTTCTGCTGTCAGCCCTGATGAACGAAGATGGGATCGTCAAGACATCCCACCATGATATGGAATTAATAGCGGAAACGTTCCACACCAACCTTTCCCGCTCCACAATCCCCGTCCCGGGCCCTAATATTCCCGTTGGAGAAAAACCACCTGAAATTCTTCCGTCGGAGGTTCGAGTTGCGATAGAAAGCATGAAAACAAGCACAGCTCCAGGACCCGATAGTATCACTGCCGATTTCCTTACAGCTGGAGGTCACAATTTACATGTACTTCCCGCAAATAATATGACAGGCTACCTTCAAAACGAGAAAATCCCAGACCAGTGGAGGACGTCGCGGATGGTTATCCTACCCAAGAGGGGAGACCGAAGGTATCTTCTTAACTATCGTCCCATACGCTTGTTAAGTGTACTCTACAAGCTCTACACGAAAATTATCCTCTCGCTCATGTCAAGGATATTGGATGAGGCACAGCCAGTCGAGCAAGCAGGATTTCGAAAAAGGATTTTGCTGCATGGACCACATCCAAACGGTGCCCGGGGTCATCGAAGTTTGTCGGGAATACCACTTGCCTCTAGTCCTAACCTTTGTCGACTATGAGAAAGCGTTTGACTCTCGAAACAAATGCAATCCTATCAGCGCTCGTCGACCAAGGAGTGGAGCAGTCCTACATAAGGACTCTGTCCGACTGTTATCGGAACTGCACTACGAAAATACAGCTTTCCATCGACCTCTTACAATACCCATAGGAAAAGGGGTTCAACAGGACGACACAATATCACCAATGCTGTTCAGTGCCGCACTGCAGTGGATAATGAAGTCATTCGATTGGGATGAGAAAGCCATACGTATTGGTGGAAAATTCCTATCAAACCTTCGTTTTGCCGACGACATTGTCATTTTCTCAAGAAGTAATAGCGAAGCAGAGGCGGTTATCAACGAGCTCAACGAAGCGGGGAAAAAAATCGGACTTTGCATAAATCGAAAGACCTAGTTCATGAAAAACCCACAATGCGAAGGAGAACAAATTGAACTGAATAGTTCTCTGATTAGAGAGACCACCTTGAACGTTTACCTTGGACGATCAATGAACATGGAAAACAACATGAACGAGGAACTCGATAGAAGGAGAGCAGCTTGAGCGGCATTCGGGCCTCTCAAAGGAACCACAGACCAACTGAAAGACCCGAAAATCCACGTACACCTTTTCGATTCAACGGTCCTCCCAGTGCTCTGCTATTCTGCAGAGACGTGGGCTGATACTTCAACTACATTAAGAATGTTTCGCACTGTTCACAGAGCGCTTTAGCGATGCCTTTTGAAATATAACCGCACTCTCAACATGTAGCCGGAATGCTAAGCTCTGACCTTCGAAATCTGTCACATCTTCGAAAACCAGGAGAATATACATCGACAGCGAAACATAGATAGGCCGGTCACATAATGAGAAGAGCCGACGACAGATGGACGAAAAGAACAGTAGAGTGGACTCCAAGAGAATGCAAACGTTCTCTTGGACGACCGTTGGGCGGACGTATTCGTAAACGAAATTAATCAGCTGTACCCGAAGCTGCAGTTGTTTTACAGATCACGGTATGAGACTCGCAAGCGCTGCCATGCTCGAACAAGACCACCACCATGGACTACGATTGCGAGAGAAAGGAACGAATGGCATATGCGCTGGTGTCCGCACAGCTCGTGAAGACGGACCGTCCAAGTATCCAAGTAAGTGTTGCAATTTTTTAGGGTATGATATTATGACAGACACCTGCGGTCCGGAGTTTTGCAAATGTCTCAGCAGAATAGTTATTAGAAGACAGTATCAAGACCAGTGTGTGTCATTAGTCGCCATCAGTAGATGTGCAACTCTGCACATTCCTTTCTGGACCGTCAAATTTTGAAATGATCGTTTTAACGGGATCGCCAATATGATGGTATCGTAGTAATCCTACGGAAGTTTTCCCTGCTTTATGGTAGAAGGTAGAAGTATGAAAATAAGCTCTCGACGTTGATCAACCCATGAGGGATTCGCCATGTATTCGACTTCATTAGCACCGTTAGAAGTGACTGCATGCGGATCCGCCCTGTGCAATGACTCCCGGTGACCAAGCAATGTATCGAGCCAGTGCTACTAACCTCACAGACGGGTCTCATATCAATTTGGTGACCCTGGAGGGATGAAAAACTTGGTGAGTCTGGGGCGCGGGATCGACTCTATGTGTACTGCAGGGCACCTCTGACCATTGCGCTACACACGCCTTTGTAAAATTGCATTGTTTATAATATGGTTTACGTAAACCATACAAAATCACCTCTGATGGCAATGGGAACAAGGTGATAAATTTTGCAACACTTCTACTTCATCGTAATTCCAAACATTGCTTACCTTTCAATTTTGCACCAATTTTGCCATCCAGTGGAGTGTTGATGGAAATCGCTTCAAGTATAAGAGCCGATATAAAATCTTCAGCAATATGAGTAACACGAGCCTCGTATATGTGACCAACAATCGGTCTGCAAATAAAGTTGCTGATGTGAAGCTTCGGAAAGTAGTTTCTTCCAGTGACACCACAACAACAAAAAGTATCGAAAGTATCGATGGTCGGACGAAAAACTGACTTGAAGACAGCTTGCGTAACAAAAATGTCGACGTGAAGTACGTTTTGGTCGTCTATAATACGAGGAAGAGAAGCTAAACGAACGGACCCAATTGAAACAACTACTCCACCGACTCTATAAGAAGTAAGTTCGCTTCTTTCAAGGATACCAACATGAACCTCTCAATTCAACTTACTTCGAACGGTACTTCCCAACGGTCATCTTTGCAATAAACTCACATGATTTTAGGAGATTTCCACCAATGAGGTGATATGGAAGAGTAGCATGTCGTTTCTCTCGCAAAACCTACAAGATGCCTCACTTCTGTTAAAAATCCGGGGTAATAAATAGCGACAACTTCAAATTAGAGCAGTTTATATTCGAAAAACTTCGTACGCACCCGTAAGCCACAGTTTTTGTCTGCCAGGATCAACTTCTTCGCTTCCTCAAAATCTAATATTTCCTTCTGAAAAATGAAAATGACTTTACACTTCACCTTTTTGAGATGGCACAATTCTCACTTCGGTGATCACGGGTTTCTTGCAAGTTTGCACAAATTTATAACTCAAACATAGAATCACAATTTATTAGCTTTTTTCATACCGTACGAGACAAGTTCATCCCTCTTGCTTTCTTTCGGTAACTTCGAGAATCTTGTTTCTTTTCGTCATCTGCCTAAAAGGGAGTGGAACATTGGATAAACTTTAACGCTGAGATAAGGAATTCGCACCCCTCTACAAGTGAGGAGATCAAACACACATGAGGCTTCTGAAAAACATATATAGAACATGAATTCACTAGATTTGTGGATACGAGACCTCGCCGAAATCTTTGAATTCCTGTGTGGGACGACCACCTTTCTTCTTAGTTTTCTTTCTGTGCACCTTCTTATGTGAAGTGTCTTCATCTGGTTCTTGTTCTACATCCTCATTCCCATCACTCAAGATTTCCTGTAATATTAAAAACATTTATTTACGGCGTCCAACAAATCAGTTAACGTGGTAAAATCAGGTGAGATCGTTAGGTCAACTTACACACCCTCAAGACAAGACCGACAAATCTAGTACTTCCAAACCAACATTAAAATAAACGGATACAGAATAAAACTCTTAGCGCTGATCAATCCCTGAGGAATACGTCATCTATTCGACTTCATTAATCATCGTTAGAGGTGACCATGCATTGCATATCTGGCCTTTACAATGACTCGCGGTGGCCTACCGATGTATTGAGTCAGTGCTGCTATCCTTGCAGATAAATCTGGTACCAATTTACCGACCTAGGAGGGATGGAAGGCTTGATGGGTCGTAGGTGTGGGAACCGACTCTACGTGTGTGTCGCAGTGGCGCCTCCAACCACTGCGCCATCACGCGCCCCTACCACAGTAACTTAAAATAAAAATAAAAATTCGAATAAACTGGACAAAAGTTCTACGGAACAAATAGGAACTCTTGACACTTTCCTTCTTCAGTTGTTGCTGATTGGACTCATCTTTTCCGGATGCTCTTTTCCGACGCATCTGTGACATGAAATACAACAGTAAAGAACTTGTGAAAAGCACTACTCCAAAGGTACAAGTGTAGATGTGAGACATCTCATCTTGAATAAACTTGCTTGACAGTTCCAATATCATAGCTAATATTTATCTCTTCAAAATAACATGAAAATGAGGATATTTATAGTAGGGAACAACCTTAACTCAAATGTGACAAGCGTTAAGCATCTAAACTGGAAAAAAGAGGAAAAGCAAAGTATCAGAACTTCAAAGGGATGTTTGGCCACAAAGGCGGTCGCTTTCTAGCGAACTCCTGTTCAAAACGCATATCAACCAATGTTTCCATGGCGAGGATACGCTCAGCATTACGCCCGTATAGAAGTCGAGCATTTTCTCTTCTCAAATTATTCCGTTCTGCTTCGTTCGGTACAGCAAATGTCCTTTTTGGCACACCATGGACGCCAACTGGAAATGTTCAGTGGTTCGGAGACACTTATTCTTATTAGAACCGCGTTCTATATTTTGCTTTATATTACCTACCATACACTATCTTTTAGTCGTGGAAGAGCGAGGAAAGAAAAATAGGGCAAGAATGTCAGACCGTCATGCATAGAAAATGCTTTTTGCTTCACTTATAGAAAAACACTTTTGCCCATGTTTTTTGTTTCTCGACCTATCCAGAAAATTAATTCTTCTAAAACGAATTAGCCTCGGATTTCCCTCATATGAAATCTTGAGTAAGGAAGTGCATAAAAGGACGCGTATGGGCGTATGGCACGGTAGTAAGAGGTGGCCCACAACACACCACACATGGTGGTTGGTTAAATACCGTATCACGAGCTAACCAAGCTCTCCATGGTTCCGAGCTCGGAAAATTGGTGCTAAACTTGTCTGAAAGGATAAGAACATCAATGCTCAATAGGTAGTAACTGTATAGGCCAGATATGCATAGAGGCACTTCTGCGATGCTTGATGAAGCCGAAAGCATGGCCACAATCAAAGGTTGATTAGCGCTGGCGGAGTTGATCGGTGCTGGACGCTTCACCTTTTATCCTTTAACAGCATAACTAATTTATCTATGGGCATCGTCTCACCAAAATCACAAATATATGCGCACTTCAATGCGTATTCGCCCAAAATGTTTACTTCACCACAGCATCCACTTTATATACATTTTGCAAAACTCAGATCCTCATCCGGATTCGGGCCCGCTATTGCCCTTTGCGGGAATCACGTGCTACACTGTACCAATCAGGCTCTTGCTTCACCTAAGCTTTCCCCTCACAGTGCCATCAGCAATCACCCATCAGCGGCAATGAAAAACGCAGAACAAGTGGGTGGCGTGGGTAACACGTAAGCTCCCGGGAAAGGTAATTGCGGATTCGAAGCTGGCCTGGGGCTTGAGCTTTGTAAATATCACAGCATCATTGTGGGCATTTTTCACATAGCACCCTGCATTAAAAAGTAATGAGTAGTAAATAAAGTACATTCTCAAAAAAGCACTTTGCATTCAATTAATAGAAGATCCAATAGAGATGTTGTGCCAACCACTCAATATTTAATGAGAATCAGAAATAGCAAGAACTCCGCAATAGCCGCAAGACTGTCGACAATCGTTGAATTAGACATGGTATTTTTTTCACCAACTTTACATTTTCTTGCAATTTTTGAAGAAGTAAACCTTTGAAAAATATCTAAACCCTCGGTTATAAAATAAGTAACGCGGATAAAAGTCTACGTGCTAGCATATAAAATTGAGATATACTTAAAAGAAAACAATGGAGAGGAGACCAACTTTTATCAGCCGAAATGTACTCATCATCAGGAAGTTGTAACCAATGTGCAGTACTCTCACGTTGCTGGTTAGTACCGCATTGATCTCTTGCCGCACGTTCAGCAGCTCCTTCAAAGTCGTATTCATAATATATTTACCAATAAATCTTTCAGATACAATGCGAATAGGCAGTTCTGGGAATGCATACAGAGATGAAGGATAGAAAGGGCGCCTATAGCGCAGTGGTCAAAAGTGCGCTGCAATACACATGGGATTGTTCCCCGCGTCCCAGGCTCACCAAGCCTTCCATCCCTTCGTGATCGGGAAATTGGTATCAGACTTGTTTGGGAGGATTACAGCACTGGATTGATACATCGGTAGGCCACCGGTGGTCATTGTAAAGCTCAGATATGCATTCATGCACCTTTGACATTCCTAGAGCATTCCTCAGGGATTGATCAACCCTGGGAGATCTACCTTTTCCCTATCCTTGATACACAGGTGCGATTTCGTTAAAAACTCACTGTTTTTTCTATGTTCTATCGTTTTCTTAAAAAATTCCACCATTTCCTCAGACATCTCTTTATCATCATCCGTTACTGAAACGGTACTATGAGAATATAAAATAGACGTCATGGCGGTAAAGAGTGACATAGAACCACGAATTCAAACCTGATACAGTATCCATATCACTTGGTTCAGAATTGTGTTCATAACTAATCCAGGATTGCGTGTACCTTCTGTGTGAAATCTTCATAGGCTCTCGGTTTGGCCTTCCAACATGCTTATTTGTAAATGCTAAATGGTAAGCAAATATTCCAACCAGGTAATATTTCTGGTGCATGTGCTAGTCTTCAGAAAAACATATGACTAGGGAACTACCTACGGATTCATAGCAAGTGAAAGACAGTACCTTTTCCTCGTCGGTAATAGTTTCTCTTTTCATACGCTAAGTGACATGCAGCTGAAGCCATTCGAATATGGTCTGCTCTCCACTTCTCTACAGCTTTGTAATGAGCCCAGAACGCTGAGAATCGAGCATCCCTACTCCACCGTTGACTTTGGAAGACCTCCATTCTCTGATAAAACAAATGTTAGCTTTTCCAAGAGCCCCTCAATGACCTATACTGAATTCAGATTAGCTGGATACGATGAAGGATAAAGGATAAAGCTCTCGGCGTTGATCAATCTCTGAGGGATGCGCCATGCATTCGACTTCATTAAGCATTGTTAGAGGTAACTGAGTACATTATTTGGCCTTCAGAATGACTCACAGTGGCCTACCAGTCCTACTATCTTCCTAGACTGGTCTGGTACCAATCTGGCGACCCGGAGGGATGGAAGGCTTGGTGTAGCAACTGTGTGTGAATCGACCCCACATCTATTGCAGGACGCCACCGACCCCTGCCCCAAACGCGACCAGCTGTTAAGATAAAGCCTAGATAGAGTAGGAAAACACGAGACCAGGCCATTCTCACCCGTCGCAACCTAGCTAAAATTCGAACGCGCTAGGCTTGTAGGATTACAGAAACAGTTTGCTTCCTATATTAAGTATCAGATACGGAAACTTTTAAAAACTATGCACAGAACGACATGACTTTTTATTGAGAACTATTATATTATTCACAAAGACACATCCACACCGATGTCAATCTGCATCTGATCCCCTTCTCTATCACTCTTCTTCTGATGAGAACGAGTATTGAGCAAATGTCAGGTCGGCACTAAGGAACAACATCCTGCTTTCCATATGAGAAATAATTACTATCAACAAATCATTATGTCACCGATTCAACAGTACTTATGCATAATTCTTAAACAGCACACAACAGAAATCAAAGAAGCTCTGCGAAGAGAAGAAGATTGCCACATGTTAATAAAAACAACCCAAACTTCAAGAGCTAAGAGATAGAGAGAGACAAATAAAGCACATCTTGTCAGCAGGATTCAGCGTCGAATATGAAAGGCATTTTATAAAGGTAGAGAACCAAAAGCGAGGTACAAACAGAAAAAAACACAGATGTTTCACTGGATATTATGCAGAGTCATGGCAAGAAATAAAGGCAACTGGCAGAAACAGGAAAACTACAACTACAAAACCTATACTTTACAAAACCATCAAAGCATCAGAACAAGGCGAATCATTTGCGTCCTTTCCGGCCTGCAGAGTTTCACGGAACTTCTGTTTCGCCTCTGCGAGAGCCCTCCTCCTCATAACAGCTGCAGCTTTCTAAAGCACAAGAATACAAACTTGTCGAGCAACCTATTACGGATACTCCCTAACCAAATCGAAATCATCTAATATGTTTAAAAGTAATTCTTCGTTAGAAATTTATATAAAGAAGGTTGTCAGAGCAACAAACTCAGCGATACCTGTTTCTCAGATTGCTTTGTTAGATTTGGTGAGTTATCATCATAAACAGCCGTTCCTACTTGTGATGAAGGAATCTTCTTCTTTTTCTTAATAACTTTACTGTTATTAGAACTAAGAACAAATGTCTGAACTTCCGCAGACTCCACGAGATTCCAGCCGCTAGCACGCCATGCGTCAACCTGAATCTCGTTATCACTGCAGTTACTAAAGTCGATTGAAAAAAAAATATTTCTTCCTTAATGTATGATATCACCTTGCTACATCAGCACAAGCACATCAACAATATTACTAGCACTAAACGATAACTCTACAGAAAACTGCCAACAACACTGAGGTCGACGTTTCAAGTGCATCTCTCGACGGTCTGCCGCCCCACTAACGAAGGATAGTCATCCAGTGAGCTTCCGCAATGCTTCTTTCCAGTAGTGTTTCTAAGATTGAACCAAGAGCAGAAAAAGCCATTGTTCGAAATGAAATCTGTCTAAGACAACCTTCTTTCAGTCTACAAGTGACGGTAACGAAATATTCTCCCGATAAACAATCACCGAGGCGCCTAAGCATTTCAACACATCAAGTAGAGTAAGTACTACTAAATGATTTAAGAATCACTGACCAGGTATCACAGATACAAAATTCGCCTTCAAAAAAATATTTTGCTATCCACTCAAGTTATGAGCTAGGAATAGGACTTTTCAAAGAAAGCAAGATATAAAATTTAACTTCTATTAACCTGAGGAGGCTATCACCAACATTTACTTCTAACTGACTTTCGATGAGTGACGCTTTTTTCTGTTACAAGTTTGTACTGGTAGCGGTACAAAATTTCCAACTTAAAATCACAGAAACCAGAACCAATGGTTCTCTACCGTCAAAAATCATTGATGAGAATGAAAGAGGAGCCAATCCAACGTACCCATATCGGAATTCAAGATAGGATGGCAGAAAACTCATTCTAAGCCGTCACCCTGATTGACCTGTTAGGGTGTTCTGCTATCAACCACTAGTAAGAGCACCCCTATGTTGTTAGACCGCAATAGATCTATTCTCAGATGACCTCCTACATAGCTAGTGTTTTCACTTCACAATGGTGCAAAGATCTGATAGCACGATAATAATTAAAATTTGTTATGGGTAACACCCCCCTATCTATCCAACCGAGGAAACTGAATACTTTTTCAAGTGCACATGAATAAAAGTAAATTAGCATTTACACTTTAAGCAGATATATTCCAGCTCACAGTTCAAGCTTTCAATTATTCTTATTCCACTGTTACGAAATTCCTATTTCCGGCAACCAACATGTGGTTCTTTATCGCCTTTTGCTGCTGACACTCTTGTTTTCAAACAGCAAGGCGCTTGAACAAATGGTATTTGGTTCAACCCTATGCTTTGGCATTATGGCTTTGGCAGTAATCGCTTATGACGAAAGCGCGGAAAAATAAAGATCTCGGCGTCGCTCAATGCCTGAGGGATATGTCATGCATTCGACTTCACTAAGCATCGTTGGAGGTGATTGAATGCATATCTGGAATTTACAATGACTTGCGGTGGCCTACCGATGTATCGCGCTAGTGCTGCGATCCTCCCACACAATTCTGACACCAATTTGCCGACTCCGGAGGGATGGAAGGTTTAGTGGGCGCTGGGCATGGGGATCGATCCCGCATGTATTGTAGGGCGTTTCTGACCACTGCACTGCACTGCACGCGTGCAAATTGGTTATGATACGCCAC